TTCAAGGCCAGGCTGGATGGGGCTTTGGGCAACCTGGTCTAGTGGAGGTTGTCCCTGCCCATGGCAGGGGGGTTGGAACTTAGTCTTTAAGGTCCCTTCCAACCCAAACCATTCTATGATTCTATGACTCTTTTGTGTATCTTCACAGCCATTCTTCATAGTTCATTGAATGTGTGGGACTTACTAACGTATTCCAACTGTATCAAAATGATTTTTTAGATACTTTTAATTTAGCATGTTTGAAAGAAATACCAGTGAAGTGCCAGGTGGAAAACAACTGGCATGACCTTACAGAGGATTAGGTTTGAATCTTTGGAGTTTCACTTTTTTTTTTTCTTAATGAACATCTGTAGATGCTCAGTTCTTTTCAACCACAGCTTAGGAATTTCCAGTATGCTTGGAACTATTCTTAATAGTCTTTGAAAGTAATGTTTTATTAAAAAATATTTCTTTCTCCTTCTACTTCATAGTTGTCCAGTAAAGTATTTATGCATTTATTATTTATAGGGATGCTAGATCTGAAATGAGTAGCACAGCATACTGTACTTCTCTTGACTGGTTTTTCTTTTGTGTTCAGTGGAAACCTGGATAAACAAACAGCATTGGGTAATACGGTTCTACACTACTGCAGTATGTATAATAAGCCTGAGTGTTTGAAATTGCTTTTGAGGGGGAAGCCAACTATTGATGTAGGTAAGTTCATTATATAAAACTTGGAAATAAAGATTTCCTAAAATTTATTTCCATTGTTTTGACCACTTTTATTTATGCCTCACTGTGTTAAGTGAGCTTCTAAAAGGAAAAATAAAACTGTCTTAGAAAGATGAAGACTTTACCACCAACCAGCCTAAAGGAAGCCTTCAGTTAAGAAAGGGAACTTAAATTTTTAGAAGATAATAATGACGAAAATTTTCTAATATGAAATACAACTAGTAAACCCTAGTTTTTCCACAGTTTTATTTCTGACACATTGTAAATGTCCTGGAATTTAGATTTGTGACTTACAGTGTAAAATTCATCTTGTACTTGTATGTTATAATGCTTCAAATGGCTGCTCACATTAATTCCACTGTAGATGTATGTGGGTTTTGTGTACACAACAGTTAATTCTTCTTTTAATATTAATGTCAGTTGGCACTGCGGCTTCACCCAGCCTGCCCTAAGCACCAATGCCGCTGATTAGGGAAGGGATTAGCTTTGTCAGCTACCTGTCTTCTGTTTGCCATCTACACGAGTGAGATGATAGGTATAACACTTGCTATACCTAAACCTGTCCATTTTTCATTGTGGCTTAGCAAAAGTTTAATTAAAAGTAGAATCTCTGTAAACTGTTTGCTCACAGTTAGGACAATCTCTCATTTACTCAATGCTCTCCTTTTCCTGCCATATTTTGAGAGTTAGGAAGGTATTCCATGAATCCAGCTTGTCGGGCTCAGAAGCTAAGTGTCATCACCATGTCTATAAAATATTTGCATTCTGTCAGTTTTTGGTATTGGAGAGAAGCTTTCTGAACAGTTGGTGCAAACTGAAGAGTATGAACTTTTTGTTTCACCCTTTTTCCTTGTCACCATTGTTTTCCTCCACTGCCCAGTAAAAAACTGTTGCATAAATTTAAGTTCATATCAGTGGCAGAAGTCATTGGTTTCCTTGGCCTTTTTATACATTCTTAGAATATGTTGTAATATTATCAGTAGTTGAAGAATTTGATGTGACTTTTTTAGCAGATATGTCCCTAATTAAGAAAATGGGAAAGCTATCTGAACAAGTTTAAGTGTGCTTATTGGTCCTTCCATAGGTAGATGCTGGAAGAGTGTTCTTACCTTTTGTTTTGTTTTGGGGTTGGTTTTGCTGTTGTTTTGTTTTTTTAATGCTCTCACATAGGAACTGCATGTCTTCCTTAAGCCTTGAAACCTCAGATTTATACTTAAAGGTTGAAAGTTTGGAGTTTATGTAGTCTCTTAAGCCATCTGTGTGTTAACTTCGGTTAAGATATACTGTATTTTCATTCCTTTTCATATTAAAACTCCTGAGCCATCTCAGATCTTTCCATAAAGAGCCCTCCTCCTTCTAGAGTTACTAATTCTTTCAAATTCATAAGCCTTTCTTGATGACTGCTTTGTATTTTCTAGGATTCATGACTGGCGTTCTGTATGTAATATTACACATAGACATATTTGCTTATGAGACCTCAGGTTGACTGTTTTCAGTTCCAAATCACAAAAATGCTTTACAATCTGGATACGCTGTAGAGTATACTCTGTTACAGCTCCATGGCATTTACTGCTATACTGTAAGAATAAATGTTCCCTAGGTTTGTCCACATCAGGTTAGGGTATGGGCGTTGTTGTTTTTTGAGACTTGCTACTCAGCATCTAGGAAGGATCCCATTAGATGTTGTGCCAAAGGACCTTCTAGAGTGCCCAGACATAACCTTTCTGATCAGGCATTATTCTAAAATATAAACCATTTTATAGCCTTTATAAAGATGAAATAGCTAAAAAGTTTTAAAATTATTCTTCTTCAAATGTCATCTTCGAATAGGACTTCTGTCTTCAGGCTTCAAACCATTATGTATTAATCAAAGTAAAACGTGGTTTTTTAAATCTTAGAATAGTTTTCTTTTTTAAAGCTATCTTACCCTGTCTGGTTGCTTTTCCTGCTTATTTTATGTAAGAGTTTTACTGGCAAAGGAGTTGAGTGGAGATTGAAATGACTAAATTTCTTTATATTCCCTGCTAAGATGGTTAGGAGGGATTTGGGAACTGTCCCAGCAGATGCTGCTGTTCAGAAAGAACCTGATGATACATGAAATGCGTGAGCACTTAGAGTGGAATCTTAAAGAGCTGCAGCTGCTATAGAGTAAATAGATGTTTTTGATCACTTTTAGAAGTTACTCTGCTAAAAATAGTGAAACTTAATGAATTGATTCTTGAGACATCTCAAACAATCGCTCTCTTTTTTTTGTTGTTGTTGTTGTTAATCTTGTAGTAAACCAAGCTGGAGAGACAGCTCTGGACACAGCAAAAAGAGTGAAAGCTGTCCAATGTGAGGAACTGGTAAGAATCAGGGGGGGAGGGATGTTTACTTCTTTAAAGATGTGATCTACTTAAGATATCATTACCACTGTATCTCAAACTTTGTATTGCTGCCAGCTGGCTGTGTGCTGATCTGAAGGCCCTACCACAGATGAATATTTTCTAACTTCAAAACCACAACAGTCATTTTCTTTGTAACAGTTAAAGATCGTACTTCTATTGGAAGTACTTAGTTATTTTAACCAGCGTATTTGAAGACCTTAAATGCTGGAGGGTCAGGTATTTGAATATCAATTAATGCATCATTTTAGGACATTTGGGCTTCACCACCTCAAAAGTTCTGCTTATAGACATTTCTATAAGGAGGACAAAACAACCCCTGAAAGACCTTTTAGGTTTGGATCTTTGCATAACTTTTCCTGCTTTGGCTCTTTCCAAATTATTTAGTGGGACAGATAGTTCAGATATGATGAAAGTCTACTTAGAAGGAGAATTGAAACAAGTTGAAATTGAACCTCCTCAAAGGAGAAAGAAGCAAAAGTGTAATATCTGGAATTTAGGGTATCAAAACTGTAAAACACCAGCTTCTGTGGGACTTTGTCCCTCTGATCAACATGATCAGAGCAAAAACTTTCTGGAATTTTGAGAATGTATGAGTGATGTTAACAGACGCCACTTAAGAAAATTATCGGAGTTCAAGAAATAAAGGTGGTAAATGATTTTCCCAGGTGCTCTTCTGAAGCAGTTAGCCAGGAATAAGGACATCAGAGCAAGAGACTTGTTTGTTCTTGGCCCTCTAAGGTGCCTGTCACCAGTATGCATTTAGTAGGCAAGTGAATTCAAGTACTGTCAAGAGATTAAAAAGTATAAGTAGTGTGGCAGTTTCACATTCAAGACAAAACCAGAAGAATTTACAAAACAGTTGTCACTTGCTGCTTAATTCTGTTTCTCAGAACTCTTTGCCTCATTTTGATGAGCAAAGGAGGATATCTACTTTTTTCTGCAGCTGGTAATTGTAATACCTTTCCTTTGACGATTAAAAGTTCTTGTCATGTATTAATTATTGCACTATCAAGAGAGCTTGTCCTTCACAAATCAGAATAATTTTCCATGTTTCTGGGGATGCAAGTCAACCTTTTGCTATGGTTGATAAGGTGGTACTCTCCCTGACTTCTCAATTACTCCCATGCCTGCTGTGTAAGTCGTGCTTCCAATATTTGGAGTATCCTGTCAGCTGAAAAACAGATCAGCTCTTCAATGTACAATTGGTATGGATTGCATCCTGTCCTCGCCCCCCCCAGTGTATATTTAAGAAAGTAACATCTGCCATTAATGTGGACCAACTGATTGTGTTGTAGAACAAATAAAAACCAGTGGATGTTATCGCTGAGCTTGTCTAGCAGTTAACCATTTTGATTATTGCAATCAAAATACCACAAATACCTCACTGATTATTTCAGTTAACTATAATAGAGCATTTACTCCTTTTCTCTTTTTTCATTTTTGAAGAGGAAAACTATTTCTACATTTTTCTGACAAGTGACAATGAGGTTAAGATTAAAAAAAAAATACAAGTGAGCATATTGTTTAACACTGGCAATAAAAAGTACAAAATAAATATCTAGATGTTTGCAATATATCAGATGTACTAACCTAATTTCTGTTGCATAGCTGGAGTCTTAACTGTAATTAAATTTGATTTCAACTCCAGTGGGTTCATTAATACTTACATACAGATTGAAAATTCTTTCTTCCAAATTTTATTTTGAGAATATGGTTAAAGACTCTCCTGAATCAACTTGTACCAAGTAGACTACATTTCAAACGATGTGAAGGAATAAATAATGACGGGAAGTCTGAGAACTGAAAACAAGACATAATCTCCTCAGAATAACCATGAACTGCAGTTTTCTTTTTTTGCTGATCGTTGTAGTAGTAGATTTATAAAGAATGGGAATACATTATTTAGGCTGGCAAAGTAGAGGAATTTTGTGCATAAGACACATTGGCCTCATCCAGTGAGAGGTAGGGAAATATTTTAATAAAGGATAAATACTTTTTTATTTTGATTCTAGCATAAGGATTGTGATTTTTGGATGGTTAATAGTATGTACCAGAATTTATATAGGTTTTGCCTTTCCCTTTTGGAAAGGAGAGCTCCAGATGCATTCTGGTTTTGTGCATATACCTTTTCTTCATGTCACCTTTTCAAATGCTTGTCAAACATGGCAAGTTCTACCCATTTTGAGAAAATCTTCCCTTTTTGCCATTTTTCTGTACCTCAAATAAATGAAGGATGTTTGTGTAATTGCCCTGAAATTGTTTCTTTTTAATGTCTGGAAAAGCATTGAACCTCTAAATATTTCAGTTTACTGCTTGCTGTTACAAAACTAACTTTGTTGACAACAAAGGAACAGGAAGTATTTTAACAAGAATTGTTACTTCTTTCAGCTTTCTCAAGCCAAGGCAGGAAAGTTAAACCCTCATGTCCATGTCGAGTATGAATGGAATCTTCGGCAGGAAGAAATTGATGAAAGTGATGACGACTTAGATGATAAAGTAAGCGTGAATGACTGACATGGCTTTGTACAAAACCCATCAAAATTTCTGTTCTGTGGAAATGAATAGAAGTTAGGGACCCACTTTAACCTTTCCTTTTTCTTAGAGATTTTTTTTGGGGGAAAAAAGCTATTTCTGAGGCCTGTATTAACGATTGCCAAAGTGTTTTTTGAATACACTTTGTCAACCTAGTTATTATGGACTTGAGTTTCAGAAGTTTTGCTTTGACAAGACATACAATATAATATAAATTGGTAAATGTAGATTTCTTTGTCACTTCATCCTCTTCTGAATTCTAGGCTGTTCATTTTTAGCTGGAGCTTGCATACTTATTTTTTCCATAAATTAATTAAAAACCTAGTTGTTGAATCAACTAACTCTTTTTCAAAAACTGTGCTTTGCACTTTATTCCTTGTTAAAAAAAAATAATGGAGAGATAAAACTTGAGGGCATAGGATAATTACCATCTTAGAACATGTGAGAACTTAGCTTGTGTGTCCTACTTTAGCAAGTCAGTTAATTACGCTGTGCTCTGTTTCTGTAATAAATGGGAATACACCTCTCCTATTTTACGTGGGTGCTGTAGAAAGAAATGTGGCCAACTTTTCATTTTCTGGGACACTTGGGACTGAAAAATTCAGAAACCCGAATAATTTACATATCCTCAAGGACAGCAGAGAACAAAGTGATTATCTGTGCGAGGAGCCTCAGGAGGGTGACTAATGCTGCAGTGGAGATAATAGCCTGCCTGAACCAGAGCAGCAGTGAAACAGGTCCTGCTCCAAATGCAGCTAGATATATACAGCAGTCAAAAATTGCTGTGTAAAATTTCTTCAAAGAGCAATTGTATACGTTTAGATGAGACGTATCGTCGAATGTATTGCTAGTTTAGTCAACAAATAGATTTGAAGTGTCAGAAGTGGTTATTTTATTTTATATATGCATTAATGGGGTAATATATCTGATCTTTGAGATAACTCTGGTCTGAGTAAAAAACTTTAATAGGCTTTTATTACTGTATTATTTAGTATATTATTAT